GCAGGACACGGCGCCCGGCCGGGGAAAGGCGGGAGCCAAACGGGCAGAGTCACCCAGGCCGGGTGCTGCGCAGCGCAGGATTGGCCCTGCCGCTTGCTCCTCCACCTAAAGCGACCCAAACCGGTGAACTCAGGCGGGCGTTGGCCGCTTCGGGAAGGTCCCGATGCCCCTTTCCCCCCGCAGTGCGTTCCCGAGGGCGACGCTCCCCCGGCGCTGGGGGAGCCCAGGCTGCCGGGCACCTGCTCGGTGAGAACTTCTGTGGGCAGCAGGAAAAGCTCCCAAGTCAGCCACTCTGCTTTCAATCTGGAGCCACTTGGCGTTTTTACCCCCCTAAAATGTGGAATTTCATGTCCTTTTGTACAAGAGAGAAACAGCCTGTTTAGGATTAATTTAGGATCAGCCTCAACAGCCATTAGCTAAAGCAAACCAAAACGGTAAATTAGCTGCCTGTCAGAAGGGGAAGAAATGTGGGACTTGATGCTGGATTTATTGTGGAGAGTGTTAAGGCAGGATTTAGGGTGATTTACTGTCCTCTGCAGTGATACCTTCTAACACCAGGGAGCTGGCAAGCACGACTCCTTCGCCCGCACTCAGATACTCCGCTCGGCTCCCGAGTTATTGACGTGTCCGGCAGCCCTGTTCTTGCAGCTGGGCTTGTCAGCATTCCCATTACAGAGCTCTCTTCGGGGTTTATTGCTCAGTTATAAACATTTGCTCCAGACTGAAACTTGATCTACAGCTGTCAACTGGAGTCGCAGAGCTCTGAGATTAGAAGGGAAAAGGTTTGGTCATTCGGTGCAAGCACAAAACACAAGACCTTCGCTTCACTGAATTTTTCACTCTTGTCAACTAAGTGATTTTGTCCCAGATGGGACATTTGATGGGAGTTCGGAATTTCCTAGAATATAAAGTAAAAAAGCTCCAAATATAAACAGAAAAGGTCTTTAGTAGGGAGACTTGCAGCAGTGGCCACTTAGCATCTGCCCAGTGTTCAAACCACATTCCCGAGCGCGCCTGTGCCAGAGCAGGGGTCTCCGAGGGTAACCTTTACAAGTAGGAAACCAGGGACGTTTAACGAGGTGCGAAAGAAAATTCAGGATGAATAAAACTTCCACGTACACGTCATTAACGCAAACACAATGCAAGGGAAAAGCTGCATAAAGGGGGAATGTTCCTTCTCGCCTGGTTTGGGTTATTTTGCCCCTCTGTGTTCCTGCCTGCCCCCACACGAGCACTGTCGGAGCAGAGGTGATGGCGGCACGTGAAGACCACAGACCCGTGAGCCTCCCCAAACCCCCAGGTGTTGGGGGGCTGCTCTGTGCCTCATCCCCTACCCTTGCCCTCCTCTCCCTCGGGGCTGCCAGTTCCGCACCAAGTCCCACAGAGCGCTCTGGGGCTCGTGCCAGGACCGCTGGGGATGCTCCGAGACCCTCTCAGTGGGGGCTCGTGGGTGGTGGAATATTGAAGGGGACCTGCCCTGGCCACCAGTGGGGGACTGGGGGGGCTCAGGAGCTACCGCAGGGCCTGTCGCAGCCTCTGGAAGAGCCTGAGCCCTCAGGCTTCCAGCAAGGACCTGCAAGCTTGGGGAGGATCAAGTGAAGGTGCTGCTGCTGCTCCTTGTTGCTTCAGGACTCAGCACCAGCGTGCTGTCCTGGGATGTCTCCAGGAACTCGGGACCTAGGGCAGAGCTTCACTCATCACAGAAGAACGGCGGTATCTGATCGTGTGGATCTTACAACTAACACAAATACTGAAACGTGTTCAGATGGTTGGAGAACCTGACCCACAAAAGGGGGACGGTGAAGATGGAGCATTCAGCGCATCTCCCTCTGCAGCTCCCGGGCCGCTGCCCATCACAGGTCACTGTCTGGCTTTATGGCCAAACAGCCTTCGTGGAGAGAGCTCAGAAGATATTGCCATCGATTTCGGCAGCACCCCTCAGAAAGCACAGCCTGCAAATTACCTTCAGCCAGAGCAAGCCAGAGGCTATTGGACAGGGAAAGCGTCAGAGAGGGCCAAGGTTTCCGTCTGCGATTCCCAAGAGAGGGCGGGTGGCTGTGAGGAAGCAGCAGCCCCCTCCCCTGCGGCAGGGGCCGAGAGCGCGGGTGGCTCAGCGAAGCACCTCGTGCCCTGAGGAGGATGGTCTCACATGGTGGGGCAGGGAGGATGGGGCAGACGTTGCCATTCCTCCCGCTGCACCCTTGTGCCCTCCCAAGCCCACCCTTGGGTGGGAGCAGGCCCCAGCCCCGCGAAGCAGGAATGTGCGACCTGCCCGCATTCCCCCGAACCCCTGGGGGCACCGAAGGGAAGCAACAACCCTCGCCAGGAGGCTGCCGGGTGCGAGGGGTACGGCACAGCGAGGGGCTTGCCGCACCGCCACGCCCTGGGAAAGGCTGAACAAGGTGCTGGCTTCTGCATGGGCTCCTTTTTTAATTTAAATCAGGGAAAGGTATTTTTTCTTCTGCGTTTTATTCCATCCTGAGTGTTGTTCGTTGCCACTGACAAAGAAGCAGGAATTCCACACATTTCTTCGGCTGTTTAGCAGAGCTGCTGCCCTACTCTCCCCTGTCAGACACTAATCTCTCCTAATATTTAACAGTCCCAGTAGGCAGCAGGATTTATCCTCTGGCCTTTCTACCTGTCATTTCATCCCTTCTCACTAAGGAGCCCTTTGATTCCCTTCCGAAAAGAGGTGCCAGGACCAGCGTGATGGATTGACTTGTGCTGGCAGTTAGAGAACCAGCTCCATTTTTCTCTGTTCCAGCTGTCCGGTATTTATCTGGGGCAGCTCCGTACAGCTGGGGAAAGCCCTTGTGCCTCCTCGCAGGGAGACATGTGGATGGGCAGGCTTACCGAGGGGGAAGCTGGTGTGGGTGTTAATGCTCCAGCTCCTACAGGGCCCGTCTCCAAACCGCAGACTGAGCTGTGGACGTTTTAGCTCCTGGGTTGATCTGGATCTAATACCATCATCCATTTCAGGGTGGAATTCCTCCCCCAGCGCTCCCCAGACATCTTCATCCCTTCCCATCGCTCTGCCTCCACGTGTTCCCCTTCCTCAGCATCCCAGCTGCCATCGCCTTGGATGCACAACCCCGAGGACAAGCACCCTCCGAGGGGAACAAGCTTGCGCAGGGACCCACACGCTACCCCGTGGGGCTGCTGCCAGCAGAGCCATCCTCCCGGTCTCTGTCCCACAGGAGTCCATCCCTGCGAGACACGTGGCTGGGAGCAGCCCACACCCGACCAAGGATGCTCCGTCATGGAGGAGGGATTCTGCATCCACTAATGGGGCCAGGAGAGACCCGGTGCATGCTGTACCAAAGCCTCTCCTTGCTCCCCAGGCAGGTGGTTAAGCAGTTCAAGAGCTGAAGGTGTCAGGGCAGCACAGTGGCTCTTTATATCAGTAACGAGCCCTTTGATTGCTGTTTCCTTAGCCCAGGAGTTGGAAGTCATTAGGCTCCAACCTGTC